CGTCCGCCGACACTCACAAAGGGTGACGTCGGAAAGGAACGTCCAAATTAAAAGTTTTCTCCAAACAAACCAACAGCTGTCATATTAATCCGTCAAAGTAAAGATTACAAATGAAATATTCACGGTGAAAGCGGGGTTGAGGCCGTGGTTATGTAAATAAGTGGCTACGAAAATGTAATATAATAATAATTAGTTTACACGTTTCCTCCGTGGCGCCTTCCACCCCCGCTTCGCCATATTGCGTGGGGGCCGAGGGGCCACGGGCGAGATTAGCCCACGATACACTTGCTAAGGGTACATTTACATGAATCACACATCTATTACACGCTGTGTTCAAATAGCCTGCATGTGTCCTCTTCACATAGCCTACAAAACAACAGATAGGGTTGCGACGTCATTAAAAATGTATCGGCCATTTAGACACAATGTATTATATACTTTTACTACGTATGGCGGTATTTTCAATTTATAACGTTATATTTTCTATATTTCTTGCTGTCAATGGTGTAAATAGTTTTTCTATGCTACCAATATCTAATTAAAACACGTGCAGAACCGCAGAAAAGTAATTACTTTGGATCATTATAATTTCAGGTCTGTTTACATAAATAAAAGAGCATGAGAGTGCTCGCGGCTTGAGTGACAGCTAATCTCTTAATAAGACTCGAGCAAAGTGAATTTTCAGGTGACGGTTGAAGGTATCTGGAGGCGGTGGTGTCGCGACGGAGTGTCGACATCACGAGGGAGGGCCTCCTTAATTCTTTTGTCGTTTTCAGCCCCGTCAAATATCGCATTTCCCGCTTTGCATATATTTACAGTGATACCGAGTCGGCGGACGTCTCTCACGGATGAAATTAGTGTCGGCAACGTGACACCAAACGAATTTAAGCCTAATAAGATATTTATAAAGAAATTACCGATTCAGCGGCAAAGTTCAAAATTTGCCTCTGTCTACGTAAAGAGTTTGGTGGCGTTTTCAATTTAAACTTGGGGCAAGTTAAATAATGTGCGAGCTCCGGCCAACTCGATTCATTTAAGGTTTTAGTGAAATTAGCTTTTGGATTTGGACGACATTAAAATACAGAGAAATGGCCGGCGTTGAACTTTGAAAGTTTATCCAATATTCTGTTTGTTACGGTTCGGCTTTTAATACTCATCCTTATTAAATTTATCAAAATGGAGGCCCGTCTTTATGCTCCGTGTACAGTTATAAACTGATATTAATGATATGACAATTTAAACATGTCAAAATAATGCTTCAATTAGAGGAACAAGGAAGGGGTGAGCGACCCGCATGTGCATTTTTCGCGACAACCAGCCCGCAGTTAATATGTCCATAAATCAGCGGTAACACGGTCACCCACCACCTCCGAGTCGATAAAATTCCAAATTGTTTCTCGACCCCGGTGCGCCGCCCCCGGTTCGCTCTTAAACGCCGTTTCAACTTGCACTTGTGAATCTCACTTTTTACTGTTCACAAAATTGGCGTGGCGAATTGCTTTTCTTTACAGCTTTTATAACACTGTGTGCGTTTCGAATGTAATTGATACAGACTTTTTTGCAACTATCGCGAATAGGAGCCGAACTGGCATTGGCAAATGCGAGTCAATTAGAAGATAAAGCGTTGACAATTACCGTGTTGGATAGCTATCGTATATCAACAATTATCGTGCGAGTGCGACAAATGGCGAGCGAGTACGTGTAACGGGGTGCACGGTGCATACAACCAGCGACGCGCAGACTTACTGAATAACTCTGGACATGCCTTGTTAACTCGTAAATAACCTGACAAACTATACACGACTCCTAACTGCCGCATCAGATAACGAAACAGTAGAGAGCAACAGTTATAAAACATAACTAATATTAATTGAATGTGTAACACTGGCAGAGGAATCATATTAAAATATCGCAATCCACCGTCATATTTCAACAATGTTTATCTCGCTGATATTCAAGATAACTGTCACCGAAAAGTAATAAAGGAACATCAAAGTCATTCTTACAATTTGAAATTCGGTTTATGTCTTTTAAATTCCTTTGACATCTCATTTTTGTTCTTTCATCGTTCTATCAAAAGACATATTTATAACTCGATTACCTCTCGACTAGCCGTTATTCTGATATCAAACATGAAAGCATTTCGGGGAACAATTAGATAACAATACTGTTTTGTCTTTCAAAATGAATTATATATCACAACGGTGAATTATAGCTACGTTATTTATCATGCAACATTCAAATATTTATATGAAAGGAAACGTGATGAGTAAGTAAGTAAATCAAAGCGTGAGTTGTGTGCCAAGACGGTGATTACAGAGTGTTGGCAACACACGAGGCGAACGTCCTAACCAAGATGTTACCGGGTCTCTAGACGCGCGTATCAAAACATGTTAATTTAAATCAATTACGACAACTTTACAAACGCCGAACGCTATCATAAGGGAAATGTTAATATGATATCGGTGAATTAAAAGACTTATGGTCCACTACAAACTGAATTAAAATGTATTTATATCTCGTCTGAAAGCTTCAATGATCTGATTCATCACAATTGAACATTACCAATTATCGCTTTTGATGTTTGCTTTTAATAAAAATATTGCACAATTACAAAATGTATGCAAATTTCCATTGCGCTTATGTGCAGTGCCTCAAAACAGTAATAAATCTTTCACCTCATCCCTCGCAGAATTCAAAATATTTAGAGTGAAAAATGTTTTACCGCATCCAATAGACTTAAAACCCAACTCAAACAAACAGTTTTTACAATGAAGCTTACTAGTGTTTGAACAGATTAGCATTTTGACTAACATTGGAGACGGACATTATTCAATAACGCTCTTTATGATAATCTCATAGGGGTGATGCAGTTAATGTGCTCAGATTTAACATCACCACATTTTTCCTCGACCCTTACAAATGCAAATTAATTCATTTCATGTATCATCTTAGTGAGAGGGTAAGGTAATAACTAGATATTTTAAAAACAGCTATCACAATATTATAAGTAGGTATAACGTCAAACCTAAATCAATTTTAGTGCACCTGACGCGGTATTTGCGACAATCCGGCAGATCTCAGTAGAGCAATTCAATTACATCGAAAGATCCCTCATAAGCGAATCGTTTTTCCGAGTCATTAATTTTTTCGAACGACACAGGGCTCCGTGTGATATGGCAGGGTGGGTCCAGGCGGCTATCTCGCGAGATAATGCTGATTTATATGAGAGAGCGACGGCCGAGATTCGTCGCGCTTCGACGCCGTTATGCGAATGTTGCGATCCTGTGTCGCTGTGTGTTTGTTTAGATGAATGTAGGGTAGGTTCCAGTTCTGTGATGGTTAGTTGGCGAGATTTATGTTAATCGACAGGGCCGAGCCGGATAAGTCCGCATAACGGCCTGTGGCAAATTTTTCTCCTGATGGGTCTTCCAAACACCCTCTGAGCGTTTAATCTTTTTAATACGAGCGTAACGAAACACAAATAATTAGAACTTTTGATATTGAATTTTTTTTACTATCTCTAAATGTGTGTGACTTAAACTTTGTTAAACAACTAATATATCAAAAGTATATATATTATTAGCATTAATAATATTAAGTGTAGTTAAATATTCTTGTTGTTATTACGAATCAACACAGCATTGAAAATGCATTGTGATTGTTATGCACCGCTTAATTTGAAAATAAATACGAACGGCATAATTCCCGATGCTGTGTTTTACGACGCAGAAAAGATTTTAAGAAATGAAAGTATTGAGCTCCTGCGAACAGTTGTGATGTAGAATTCGTAAGCTAGAGTGAGCTTACGGTAAAGAAGACTTACTTATAAAAATTATAACTTAAAAGTTTGTTTAAGAAAACTATAGTTTATCAAATTTTTGGCTCCTGATATTAATCATAGCTCACATTACAATAATTCTAATTACCTACTGTAGGAACATTTAAAATATAAAAGTATTTATTGGAGGTGAGAACCTTATCAAATGATTGCGTTAGCGAATTTGTCACGATCGGCGAACTGTCGCGCGATTATTGTCGCGTGATTTATGTTGGTATATGTAGCGATAAGAACACAACGTCACTGAACCGACATCACCTTACGAAAACCAATAGGAACCAATGGTTATTTTTGTAACATTGTTAGAAAGAATGTATGCATACTAGTGCTTTATGATAAATATACTAAGTGACTTTATACATATAAATTCACAGTTAACAGAAAAGAATGAGGTAAAAAATAAATTGGTGCACATTTGATTTCATTAAGGATAATTTTCAGACGAGCATGTGAGAAGCAGCTAATATAAAAGAGGGACAGGATTTTGTATTATTTAAATTGTGCCAGACAAATATTATATAATGTATCAAAATATTTGAAAAATATTATGACTATTGTATTTAAAAAAAGCTTTCATTTTAGTAAGAAAATGTAGTGAATGAAGTCTCTTTATTCTATTTCGTGATCAGTACTTATTTTGATTACCACTAAGAGTACTGAAACAATATACTACCAATTAAGATTTAACGATATCCTCTAATTCTCGTTGATCATCTCGTAATTCGTTCGATTACTAAAAGCGTCGATTGAACTACTCCATTTACAAAGACCACATATCGAGAAAACAAAAATAACACTAATTGGCGCTTTCAAAGATTCGACTAAATGTACACAGTAATAAGCGATTATTGGTATATCAAGTGCGTTTTGGTAAGGGAGGTCGTTGGAGAGCCCATTGTTCGTCTCAGAGCGAGACCGCTACGCCTCGCGCCGCCGAGTGCCACCCGCCTTATCGCCATCGACGATGCAATATCCCCATGATCGACTTTTACAAACAATAACTTACCTACCACCGCGAAACTCAAATTGGAACATGATTCTCGATATTGTTTCTTAATGTACTCTTTTTATACCAATCAATATACGATTGACTTTATTGGTTGAAGCTAACTGTGAGAGCATGTGCATATCATAAATGTGTACCAATTATAATTCTTACCTTCCAGTTTTTGTGATGATCATTTCAGTTCCGAGTTCGTTGAATTTGTCCCATAGTTCTTTAGTTTCGAGATGGCACTGTATGTGCCTCATTTCTTCGCTGGACCATCGTTCAGCCAGCTGAGGGTTTCTTGGGGGGGAGAGAGCTCTGGAACCGCTGGGTGCTCCCGCTGAACCAGCCTCAGAAGTGGATGAGACATCCACAGGAGAATCCCTTTCATATTCCAGAGGTGGAGACGGAGATTCCGCAGCGGATGCGGTAGCGTCCACAAACTTTTCTGAAAAGTTTATAATATTATTAGAAATGTTACATTTGTTTTGATAACATTATTTTAGTAGATCTTAATCTTAGAGTAAAATTACCAAAAGGAACCTTAACCCTCAGGCCTCATCTAAACCTATAACTCTTCGATCTCACTATTATATTAATCTTAAAAAATACAAAAAAAAATCTTTCTTTTTAATTTAATTTTATTCCACTTTCTCAGAGTCCACCCCCTCCTATAATAACAATGAAAAACCAAAGAAGCATAAATAAATATTTTATAGCAAAACATAGCCCTTAATAGGTAAAAGATTTGTAATTTACATTAAATTATGTTCTTTTATTACACACGTATATGTGTAATTTTTATTCTTAGTCTTGAATATAAGCTGTTGTTTTTGTATTAAAAAACAAAACCTGGTTACTATAACATTTATTATTATATTTATTTATTTACTATTAGCAACTTTATTCCCAATAATTTAAAAGTCTATTGATAGATAAAAAATACTTTGTACGCTTGTTTAGTTTGTAAAGGAAAAATTCTTTCTGTCCTTTCATATTCCCTTGAGTGCTGGCTAATAATATCTTCTTAAAGTTTTATAATATGTCTAATAAATAATGGTAATAATATTATTAGAAATTAATTATTTATTGTAATAAATAAATTACTAGATTTTATTATCTCTTATTGTTATTATATTCCCTTTACTTTAACCTTTACTTTGTCGATTTAGGGATGTCAAATTTCTTAGCTCATAAAAACGTATTCGCTTTTTATTACTTTTATGATTATTTATTTGTTACAATGATTTAATATTTTAACATATTAATTCTGGAATGTATTTTACAGATTCTTATTCATTTATATTAAGTTAAGTTATAATTCAATCAATTTTACTTATATGATAAGTAACTTTAATTTACAATTTATTTATATAATAAGTTTATATAGGCATTTGAATAGTTAATCTTCATTTATATATAATGTATATATTTTTTTTATTTAATAACTTAACATAACTTATCAAAAAGGCTTTGGTTAAAGAAAGCAATTTATTTTATAGGCAAAATATACGATTAAAAAATTTGTATCGAATTTCTCAGTACCAATAATAAGGAGTATGAAAATCACATTAACTTCTTCAATGTTCAAATTACAAATTAATTTAACCTACATATAGGTAAATTTCCTTCAAAATATAAATAATCAAAAAACATATTTAATAAAATATAAAATAACATTTACATTATTTCAAATAAAATTCAGAATTTTGAGGAAAGTCCTAATTTCACTCATGTTTTTACAATATATTATTGTTTTAACATTCTTGTATTGTTTTTTTTTATATTATATTTATGAAATAGAAAATTAAATATTGAAGCTGAAACGTTTCCGAGAAATATAAAAAAAATAAGATATACAAAGGAAAAGAAAATTTTAAACCTTATATTGTACCTAGTGGAGGAATAATTGAAAAATCCATACTGATATTTCATTTAAAATTTAAATAAAAATGTTTTACATTTCTTAACGCAGGACTAAATTATATGTATTTTGACATACAACTATAAAAAAATATTTCAACTTTTATTACTTGATGTTAGTTAAAATTTATTAGAAAGAAAATTACTTAGAAATTAAAATAATGAAGTGGTAAACATTACTTTATAGAAGAAGTTATTATTTTTTTTAATTAGAAAACAATTAGATTAAGAGGAATAAATTTGTAGGAGATAGAAAATATATGAAACTGGAAATGCATATAATACTATAAATTATTCTACAGATGAAAATAAGTAATTTGGATAAATAATTATCTTCATACAGACTTTAATTAATGCTTTAGTTTAATGGAAAAATTCAACAAAAATTAAATGTAAGATTTCCTAAACTATCATAGTTATATTTCAAATAAATTCACATTTCTTGTAATATTTATTTCAAAATCTTTTATTTCTTTTACACTTATTTCAATATATATAAGTAACTCACAAGAAGTGTAGAGAATATATTTAAAATGAAAAGTTTAGTTATTGAAGTTACACAAATTTATTTGCTACACCCAACATAGTCTTATTGGATTTAATAAAATAACTTTCCTTATATTACAAACCTTAGAAACATGTTTTATTTTATAATATAATATATTATATAGACAAGAGTTTATTATTATATTTTATTTTGGATGTATTATAATAATTAAATTTTTAGAACTTGTCTGTAGAATTTTGATATTGACTTATTTATAAGTATTACAAACTTAGCTTGTATTTTATAATAAAGTGAATAAATATGTTTATTTTTAAAATACATTTTGTTGTATTTATTCGGATCATTCGGAATTTATTACAGTAAAAACATTAAATATTTTTTGTAACATACAAAACATGCTAACTTTATTCAATAACGTTTGAAGTATGTAATATTTAACGTATAAAGATAGTAATGTATAATAACAAACCTAATGGTGTGAGTGTATCTTCCCTGGGATCTCTGTGCCTTCGTCTTTCCCTCCGCTCCTGGCGGTCCCTGGCCATTATGGCAGCTATGGAGAAATCAGTGGCGCAGGGCCTAGCGGAGCACTCATCCTCCATGGCAGGCCCCCGGCCTTCGAAGCCCTCCCGGCCCTGCAGCAGCATCAAGCTCACGGCCTCCGAGTACCTGCCCCCAACCTCACCGACCTCGCATCCCATGTGTGGCACAGTGCATCTATACCAGTAATTTATTCGCGACCTTCAACACAATCCTACACAACTCCTATAATATTATAAAACCGTTTAAGTTTAAGACTATTGAATCGTGCTGTCACAGCTATCGTAAGTTTCGGAGTATTGTGTAAACTTTTTACGCGCGGTTCGTACAGCAGAGCGGACCGTTTCGTCTCTGGGTTGTGAGGTAGACTGAGGCGGCGGTCGCCAGGCTGCGTCGAGGCGGCGACGGGTTCAGGGAGGGGCCTGGGCCGCCCTACGCCACCACACTCCGACCACGCACACAACCGCTTTTTTATTACTTCTTTGTTAGTGTACCTCTCGCTCGCACATCCACACCACTCTTGCCCGTTTGTGTTTTTCTCCACGCGATAACTATTGAAATACGCTAAACGGCTCGCGGTCCTGAAAAGGATCCGATTAAATACACCAAGATTATATAAAAATTCATATACGAATTTTATATCCGCGGACATTAATCTTAATTAAAATTATATTTAATATTCATACGATAATCGATTTCGCTATCAAAGTGAATAATGATAATTCTTTGTAATAGCCTACAAAATGGCTAAGTGGCTTCTGTTATCAAATATTTTTTATTACAATTGCCTATAAAATAATATTTATACTACCCGACATATCATTTTAAAATACGCAATGAAGTATTCATATGAAAAAAACTATTGACAAATTTTCGAAAAGAATATAAAGGTGTTTCTAAAATCGAAATCAACGCTTAATTAACAAGTCCGTACAAATAACAAACATTTAGGTAGTTGCGTCGTACGTGAATACACTTCATAATATTTATAGCAACGAATGTAATTTCCGTAAAATTGGACAACTTTCGTTAAGTATGTTTATAATATTAGTGGCGGGAGTGATCAAACTAACCATGTCGGCTCGCAGTAAACTGTTATCGGAACTTATGGCAGGTAATTGTTCAAATGGTCGACGAAGCTGATTGCGATGTATCGATGTAATTGTTACACTGTTTAATTAACTTATAACAATTATAAATTACATTAATAATAATTATTAGCATATTAAATGTATATACAATGTACTTGGCTACGATATGCTATGGAAAAACTCACAAATTCTCTTTTAATCCATTAATTATAAGTATGAATGTTTAAAACACAAAAACTAATACCCAATCTATAGTCTTGTAGATAGCAACTGATATCTATCTATGTTTTGTTAGATATGAACGTTATATGGCAAAAAGTACTTGGAAAACGACTATGAAAGAAAATAAACACTTTATAACCACAGTATTCGACAGTTCATTCCTTGCTACTTGATTGATATGAATGAATGAATGAATAAAAAAATGAAGGAATGAATATTAAAAAATTAAATGAATGATCAATTAAAATAATGACATCGTGGAAATATTTTAATATGACATTATAATATTATTATATTTAAATATTAATTTCTACCATTCAAATATTATTTTATGAGTCACTCAGAATTTAATATAAAAAATATTGTATACAAAAATCCAAATGTTTATAAATTTAAATTATACAAATATACATTTTAATTCTCTCAAATATCAAAGAGCATGAAAATTTTTAATCAAATAAGTACACTAACGGTAACAAGAATAAAATTCATACAGGCGACTTAATATAATATTTAATGATAGTAAGGAAGCATAACACAGCAAAGTAAACTTATTAATATTAAATAAATGGCGAGTCAAAAAGGCTTTTAACTTGTTACTGGACACGTCCTTTTCACTTTTTGTACAAATCAACGAGCAATGTGATTAAAATTTTAAAGCAAGCAACTTGTGTGAACGCAGTGTGAGGGGGAACGCCCCTTGAAGGCGGGTCGTGGCTGATTCATTGAAATCAAACTCTATTATAATATATTTAGAGTTGATTTTGTTTATCATTTTTAGCCTGCATAGATGCAAGTCTTTCTGTAAGGGTACCACTAAGTAGCGTAATAAGCATTCGAGTTGAGTTTTTCCGTTTGAACCCTTCAATATCACTGTTCTTTTTAACGACTACGGCTTTGTTTTATTGTATTAAAGGAATAAACTATTTCGTGGCTTTATAAGAACAATTTTTTTTTATTTTTTCTTTTAGTATTGTTTTAGTTACATTTTATTAATTTGTGACTAGCTGTAATTCAGTTAAATTAAATTTGGAAAGTTTTCACCAGGTTTTTCAACAGAGATGCACCTACCTCATAAGTTTAAGTCATTTATATAAATTTACATAAATATTATAATATGGAACACTTACAAACCCAAACACACAACATATATAACACATACATATGTTTGTTATGAAAAAAATATAATATCCTTCACAAAACCAATTCCAAAGAACAAACGAGAGCAGAACCTAAGACACAATATAGAGAGGAGAGAACAATGAAATTTAAGCACCGTGGATATTGAAACAAGTAAATCAAAGCACAATAACCAATATTACATCTGATACAACACACTGTACATGCTGTGTGACGTGGAGAGAATTATAAGTCCTCTAAGACATAACTTGACCTCAATACTGTTTGCTTAATACTAAAATGCTATCTTTTTTGAAGCAAATTTAAATTTAGATACTAAAATATTTGATAATATCCCTTAAATTCAAAATTTTTTGTTAAAAACAAATACTATGTAAGTCAGTTGATTATTGGTTTGGATGACTGTAAATTTGAAATTTGCTTAATATTACGCTTCAGTCGCTTCACGAATTCGAAATAAAAAATCTGTACTAGCTAATTTAATGATTCTATTATTTTAGAATGCTTGTATGATATTTCGTTTCGTATTCTACTTGAAGTAATACAAGTTACACTATAAATTACTAGACAGTTTATACATGAATAATCGATAGATATATACATTTAAAAAGAAAACGAACAAGTCGATTTCTTTCCATTACAAGCTCGTGAATCCCCAATACAGGTGACAATTCGATGTGTGGCAGAAAGACGGACGCTCCCCCGGGAATGAGTTCATGTTTTACCTTTTGTCTGTTTTTAACCGACAATCGAGGTAAAAAATATGCCTGGAAGAATATATACGTACTGTTGAACGTCCTTAAAATCTTTATTTCTAATTTACATACGTTGATATTAAGTTCTATTTTTTTTTAGTTAGCTTTTGTGTAGTTTAATTGTGATTGTTATAATCTAAAGTATTAATGAAATATTCAAATTATAATGTACATTTGAAATACTTTCTCTTGTATGTGAATTTATAACATTTTTCAGATGTGAAACACGGGGGTAATGTAAAAATATTTATTATTAAAGAGCATTCAAATGTCGTATGAATTTAATACATTGTCCACATAGTCCATAATGTGCAAACGCCAACCTCTCCGCGTTTGGCTGACACTATTACACCCTGTGGTACGTCTTCAGTGTGAGCGAGAACATTACAAAATCGAATACAATGAAAAATATTCATGTTTATTAAGATTTCAACTTAATTATGCAAATATAATATGATATAACGAATCTGTTAGTGATTGGAGATTATGAATTTCTAGAAAACATAGTTGAATTCTCTTCTTAAAGATTTTTTATATATATATATTTAAGTAATACGTTTAAATTCAATTAAATTCACTCATATATACATAATAGATAAGAAGGGAAGCGTCATATGTTATGTTTCTAATGAAATTTAACTGATGTTAAAGAAAAAGTTTTCCATTATTGAGAAGAATAATTCTGAATTAAAGGTAAATAAAATCCATTAGACTATTATCAAGTTCATTAAAAACAAGTGAATATAACCAATTACAATTTATTACAAAATTTTAACTTGTTTTATAACACGGAATTACAGTTAATTCAATTCGGCTATCATTTTACTATGAAGTAAAACATCGCAGCTCTCAATGTGGCCGTACAGAGTTACTGAGGCGAGCGAGGCGCGAGCTTGCTTTATCTGCGCTGGCTGCGCGAAACAATATATTTATTGGACAGTAGCACGCGGCACGGCGATCCCAGAGATGATCTATTCACTGCACACTTCCAGAGGACGCTAGAACAGAGCTTGTTGGCTCACGTTTTTTATGTCCCACTGTATATGTGACACTTTTGTTTTATGAGAACGTCTATGTTCATATTTATATGTATATTAGATAATAATTCGCTGTAAGCAAATTGATATTAAAATATGCATGAAAAACATTGTTTATAATAGTGAATATTTGAATATTTTTGTTTTTATTGTTTAATTGATGTTTGATTAGCACTTAAAAAACATATTAATATGCAAAAAAAGATTTTATTGAAAATAGTATTAGTCTACATTTTGCACGGAAGCGTAAGCCGTCCTTCACTCCAGAAGGTCACAGTTTGCACAACCTCCGCCCCTGTTCGGACCTGCTTTTATTTTACGACGTAATTCTGTGCCCAAGATTAGGCATCGCTAAACAAACCAACTGTTCACCCAACTTGCAAATATTTATCAGATTCATAAGTCGTATAGTATCCGCGTTATATACGACTTTTAATATGGCCAGCAATAAAGAAAATACCCGTTCAAAATACATAAATAAAGCCCGGGTTCTCAATCAAGACTATTTGTTGGGAACGGGTCTCCGGAGAACCGAACAAGATGGATCGTAGTGTCAACATGAATTTGCATCCCTTGTTTGTCTCCGCGGAGTCTCGGTGGAAAAAACACCGCAATCTCATTGGGTCGGTGCACCGAGTGCTTCGCATCAGTTATTCGCTGGTGCGGCCGGCTAATACGATTATCTGTCGTTTCGACCGAGACGCTCTCTTTTTTTCTATTTCCTTGTTTTCCAAATTCATGTCTACTCCGTGTTTTCTGAATGGGAAATGGGATATGTCAGACGAAAAATTGACAAAAATATGGCTGCCCCGATGGAAATAGTGGGTTTTGCGATTACATCTACCGAGCCCTGCCACACGCTATCAAAATTTATATTCAAGATGATTTTCTTGTTGTTTTTCTACATATTGTTTGGTGTCGCAATAACTTCATTATCATATTTCATAATCAAGAATACGACCTCAGGATATTATTTGAATTACTTAATTTATGTACATAAGAGACATGTTTGCTTTGTGAAATAACTACTGTCTGTTATTACAAAGCAATTCATTAAAACATTACACGAATGGGCGTTCCTAGTTAAGGTGAAGGTTAACTTTTACGTTGTGTTTTTCATATCAAACTCCGCAAAATATATTTGAATTTGTTTATTAAAATTTATTAAATAATAATATATTTATTATCAGAGAAAAAATACATTAGTCAGGAAAGATATATACAACTCTCATTAGCGCCAGCATCAAATGTTAACAAAAAATCAATCCCACAAAAAGCTCGGGATGACAGAAGCGATTCCAAATATTTCGGCAATTCAAAGTTGTCCCGAAACAAGAGTCTCATTTGTGATTTATTACGCCTCGTAAACCATTACAAATTGTTTCGAAACCTTGAAATATCGTTGTTATGAACATATGGATAAACATTTTAGATTTATAATGTGTCTTCAGACAGCACAAATTAACTTCCTGGATGGAAATTTCACTTGATATACCATGAGAAGATGTCACTGCGAGATGTTCTAAGATGCTCTAATCATTACGCACGCGATGCAGATGAAGATCGCTGTAATGTCTTCATTTTTAATATCACCGAAATCTCAAAGAACACTAAACTACTGGGAACGGTTTTACAAATGTAATAATTTCCTCACATTGAACACGAACTAGCCGAACCACTGATTACGCTTGATTATATCCCACAAAAACACAGCCCGGAACTTCCATTACCATCAGTAGCAAAAAAATATAATTATAACGCCTCGTACTAGTAATTATCACCCATGTGGTGGTTTTTAATAACACGATTTTGTCGCAATTAAAAATTGCTTTTAAGTGATTCATTTTTTCTATGACCAGATAATTTTCATAATCTGTTTAATCAATTGATAAAGAAAATGTGTTAAAACTATGTACGCAATGGAGATCTAAGTATAATAATTTCTGAATATTTATTATGTTATAATCATGTATTATAAATTAAATATAAGTGAGGACAAAAAACCAAGCTCCTCATATAAGACCACCCGCGCCGTTTCAAACAATGCGCGGAACATTTGACATAGTTTTTACGATTGAATTCAAAGCGTGCAATTTTTTCTTAATTCAAATATAAAAAATAAACTTTAATAATATATTTATTTGTCTTATATACTCGTGCCTTCTTGAAAAAAACTGTACGCTAGTGTACTGTGTATAAGTATTTCGAGTATAAATTACAAAGGGTTTCATAATTTTAAACTTAACAGAATTATTAACAAAATTATATGATTTTCGGACAAAGATTTTCTATATCCAAATGATTGATCTCAACTTGAAGTATAACCTTCGATTATCTATATGATATCATATATGTTCTATATATTAATTTCTTGCGAACAAATACAACAAGCAAATATTTCATAAAATAGAGAGAGTTCACCACAAATTTTATTCCTTCCATGAATAATAAATATTTTTTTCAGATTTTTTTATTATTTAGAGAAGATATAAAATACTTTTTCAAAATTACATACCTACTATGACTCGTATTTCTAAAGCAACTAATTTCACTGAGAAAACATTCGGGAACGTTGTATTAAAGTACATATCTGTTAGAAGATTTTATTTAAAGATAAATATTAAATTATAATTATGTAATTTTGTTACGTCACATATTTCTAATAAATTTTCTCTAAATATAGGTATGTATATGTAGATATAGTACCGTAGTTGTCGAACGATAACCAAAGTATAGTCAATAATTCGTCATGACGATAATGATCTCTTAGACAGTATACATGCGTCAACAAGGTTGACCCAGAAGGCTCAGTTCTCATGGCTTCAAGAGTTCCAGTGTGGTCTGCCGTCTGTCGCTGTCGGCGCATGCGCACCGGCACGCGCGCTATGCGGCTGCGCAAGCGCATTTTAAACTCCCCGGACTTAATAAATGACCAGCGTAAAGTATTAGGCGGATCAAATATATCATTTATGTAAATTGTGACGAAGACATATCCAGCCAACTTGCTTGATGCCTCAGCTACACACGACTCGCATTCCGTAACTGCTTTTGTAACAAAAAAGTATCTCATTAAAATATATTCTTTCAACTTATTGATCTAGACCAAGTCCTCATAGTTTACTCTAAATATTTTCAATTAAATTCTGCCTTATTACATTATTCGTTCAAATATTTTTTCTGATCGTTTCGTTCAAATAGCCAGGTGTCCAACAGTTCGTCTCATTGCCTTTTGATAGCATGATGTATTGTTTTCTTTTGTGGTGGTCGTGTTTATGCACTCGATAGTCCCACTCCATACAACCATTGTCTGTCACAAAATTGTTTTTGTGTTGTGACAGCTATTTGGTAACTCAATATAAATAAAGATAGATTTGTGAATATCCGACTTGGCAAGACATTTAGAGTTTTGGTTGAAGTCATGCACCTTGAAAGTAGATTCAATTTATCATTTAGCAATAGGACTGTTATTATAACGTTCGTTACTATAAGAATTATGATACGTCATTATTTTTATTGTAAAAAATATATATTATAATGTCATCTGGTAAAAAGTAATTACCTTAAAAATAAACGCCAATTAAATTGTTTTATTATAAACGATAACAGAAAGTTATGGTGAATATTATTACTTAGATATTTTCATACCTCATATTAAGTAACAAAGCCTTATAATTTCACATTTCTTACATTTAAATAAGTAAAAATGTATAGTCATTAAAACGACATTTTACGAAGACATTTGTTAACTTCAATGCAGTCCCATTCTTGAGTATTTTGACTCAATTAAGTTGGCAACACAATGGCATTGTAGTTTCGAGTATTGAGGGCGTTTCTTAATACACACCCCATAAATAAAATGGTATTTGTGGTCGATATTACTGTGTGTGGTCATCGCAACGGACCCTTTTTGTTTTCTCTTACATGAATTTCACGTTGCAGCAACTATAAACAAATAAGGAATATATTTCTTCAAAAACATTTATGTAATTTTTTTAATACAAAATTAATTAAATAATTAAATAGTAAAATAATAAAACAGTTAAATAAAAAATCATGTTTATGTAAGTGTGTAAAAGTTTCGTAATAAACATAAAACAGGGTAAGGAGTTAGTATATAATTATAGCAATCAGTCGAGGACATTAAATAGCTTCATCAGTACAGTATTTTGCACATGTCTTGAAGTGTGATCGCCGGGGGTCTATTTGGTCACAATTAACCAACGCCCTGCGGCTTCGTTCGACTTTTTTTGGGATCGGTTTGTCAACTCGCACATTAGCCAAGGTGTTCCAATCTTGGTGGTCTCTTTTTGTGATAATTGGTGACAATGGTGATCATCAACCGCTTATGGAGAGAGATGTTTCCTCAACAGATGCTCCTTATGGATTTCGAATTATGAACATCGGTGTATTTTATGTTTATATAGTAAAAAAGTTAATGACTTCCAAATAATATCATTAATATTTTTTATACTATACTTATGTACAACATCTAAAGTAATAAATTTTTATCAAATTATCTCTCTAGTTTTAGTCACTTATTAAAATCTATGTATTAATTAATTTTAAATTATTTGCATTACTTATACTGAAATAATATTTCTGTTTAAAACTTGTGTCCTATATGTTAATTCAAATAACAAGAAAGGAGAGTTATATGCAATGATGCTGCAGCGTTCAGCTAGCTACAAGGTGTCAAAAATACTTATTGTGATTGCTCATTGTCTGGTGTATGAGGAGATAGTTGTTAAGTTTAATCATTGCTTGAAAGTAAATTAGTTTTGAGTAATATAATCTTTTCTCTACAATTAAAATTTATTAACAATTTACTAATGATTTAGTCCAACTGGCTGAGATACCGTAAAGTATGAAGAATGATGATGCTATGTATAAACTAAGTATTACCTAGGGATGTGATTGAAAAAATCTATCTCTTTTTGTTTGTAATAAATGCATGTTGATTTATATATTTCATTCACATATAACAAGAAAGTAATGTATATAAATAAGTGGATACGACAAGTACATAAAATAATATAGCTATAACAACATATTTAAAAGTGTTTTTCCAGTCTATTCTGGGTAATCGCGATAACAGCGGCTCTATTGAAGATCATTGAAGCACTTTAAAGTGTGGTATCTGTTCTTATAACAACAAATCATCCTCATACACAAATAAGATACACTAGATGAATGCTAGGTGGTTCACTACTATGTAATTTATGATAATGAGACTTTGATTTAACAACTTACATAGAGTAACAGTTTCATTTAATGTGAAATAGTATCATTAATGATAATATTATAGCTATGAATATCTTTTAGTATTTCGTCTAAGGCTTTTATTAGTTGCAACAAAATGATTCGTTACAAAAGTTTATTTTTCAATTAACAAGCATATAATTTATATTGTAAACAACTTTGGTATAATTAAAACAAAAGAAAATCTCATAATTATATAATATTTTTTTATAATACGAATAATTTAATTCAATACTTTTATTGAGGCTCAGAAAAAAAAACTCTTTTTACTCGTAAAGCCGCCGTAAAATTATTGCAACGATGAAAATGAATACGCTTTTGGATAGCACCGTCTCTGCAATCGAAACTAATTGCTCGAAAAACTGGTGTTGATGGAATAAAGTTTTTGTTGAGCCGCGGTAGTTGTGTTACAGAGTACGAGTGAAACGTAATGACTATAAATATACCCCGTACGGTTAGTGAACAGCCTAATTGTTTTAAGACCACCACCGGCTACATAACTAGTACACACGACATCTATTATACATTTATCCCACCATAATTATATTTTGTCGCAATAAGAATATTAGCAAATCACTGTAAAATATGAAAATATTTATGTTACTATTTCGCTTGTTGATATTCTTCTAACAGGCCTTTACTATGGACGTTATAAAATAGTAATGTTAAACGTTAGGCGTTGATTCAATGGTAATCAACTCGTGCGCAGATTCTCCCCGGTAGTATGGTAATGGTCATTCAATGTTATTGATTAAAGTTAGTGGATGAGTAATAAAACTTGTTGGTGGTCGTAAACTGGCACCCGAGGCCGCCCTCGCTACCGGCGCCCGCGCAGCCATCAAAGGCCGCACCGACAAAGACACCGCCCAATCACTGGCCTGTCAACGCTGTCATGGCCCATACGTAATACTTGCCTACAGCTAACATTACAGGCGAGCTTTACAACCAATTGTAAATTAATGTTCTTGTTTTGCATAAAATCGTCGTTAAAATAAGATAAAACTCCTATTGCATTACGCTTTAGTGCATGCAAAATTAGTTTTTGTTAGATCTTAAGTATTTATTACATTTGTATACAGTGATCGTTTCTTGTATTGCAAGAATATTATTATACAAAACAAGATTGTATGGAATATTTAATAAGTTTATTTCTATATTAAAAATGTTGCATTTCTTATGAATGTCTTATTATTCTGTATACACTTAGTCTCTATAGTGTAGTATCGCCAAAGTAATCTTAATCCGGCTGGAACGAGCCCAAAAACTGAGGGCGTCTTAAGATGGAGTCGCCGTTTTAATTGGTCGCATTACACATGATCCCCTTATTAATAGGTTGATTAGTTGCGGGCCGGCGGCGCAAGACGGACGCTAAACCGCCACGAATCTCTTGCGACAACGTTAGGAAAATCTCTTGAACTGCAATTGCATTTACTACGTCTAAAACCCATATTAAGACCTAGAGAAGCTTTTAAACGGCATAGCTGGTTTCCATTAAAAGGATTGATTGTTATTTATTTCGGTTATTTCACTTTATGGAGTACTTTAACGCGTTGGAAGTTGATAGGTGCAGTGAGTCGAAAATATCAATATTGTCCGAAAATAGCCGGCATATCGGCTCTGTGCCTATAAATCTGCGAGGTGTCGGCTACTATCGCACGCTCATACTCCGCGTGATGGTTTGTATCATTTGCAAAGCAACACACGAAGTATTAAAAGTACCACTGGACGGTACAGCTGGCATTAAATATTTATATTTTTATGACTAATCACATGAAGATTACATTAGCAAATTATATTTCAACCGTGGCCTTTTATACGTTATTATAAAATATTGTAAATGGTTTTCGTATTACAAGTTTACTGTTTCAGCGGAAATGTATTAGGACGATACGAGCAGATACTTAATAAATGTTTTATTATAGCTTCGTTAACGTACTGATAATATCTTTGGCTTGTATAATCAATATTTAGAGGAATAGGTTGTAGGCGACACAAACTTATCACAAATAAAAAAGGTTTTAAAGACATTTCGTTGCAAAAGTAAATTTATTTATTTAAAATTTTACTATTTACTAAAACAATACAGCACACACAATGTTTGAGGGGGACTATCAAATCTAAATTGTAAGTAAAAATCACGTATTGTTCATACATATGTACTCGTAAGTACACTAATATAAAAAGCTAGTAGTTTTTGGCTGTTCCCTATTTATATTTAAAAAAGCTCTAGCTTTCGTTCTGATGGATTTTTTAAAGAATAATTTTAACTTGTGAAAAATCATCGTTCTGGTTTGGTAGGTTTATGTTGGAAATAAAATTAAACAGATTTTACTGATTCAGCTTATGTCAATTTCAATTATCCGATGTAATAAAATTCTATCATGTGCTAACAGAATGATATACCACGTTGAATCTTAAGCAATAATTTGTTAGGTTTGTTAATAAATAAAGGTGATTAATTGTTAAGCTCTTTTTACCCTTAAACATAGTCAATACAAATATAATACGAATTCTTATGATTCTGATCAATATTTTTCAATCAATGTACCTACTAACAATGTATTTTATTAATTATTTAAACGACTATAGGTACATTTTTTTTTTTCAAAATACATTTCAACGATAAACCTATAAAAAATTAACCTTCATTGTAATACTTCTTCATTTGTATGTATAAAAAGAAATTAAGTTGTTTGACAAGTGACCGTGAATGTATTATAGTAGAAATAGACAAGAAGGCCGAAAACTCAAAAATTGGATTGAATTGAGGCGATTTTTATTATAATTTTAATTTATTACAAGTTTTATCATGCCCCATCAATCGCGTCGTAAGTCAAGCACATCTATTCATAGTGTTCGACGCTTAAGCGGTCAACATGTTCCTCCAGAGGCATCACATCTTTCTCTTTTAAAAGAAGAAACACACACAGGTGACCACTTTCTTTCCCCGAAACAATTAGAAATCGTTTACCGGACGAATATCAACACGGGGCTCACCGAAAGCTTTGCTAAAGAATTGTTGGACACTCATGGTCCGAACGAATTAAAAGAGCTGAAAGGCAATAGCTATTGGAAGATTTTCCGCCATAACTTATTTGGTTGGTTTCAATGTGTACTGTGGTGTGGGGCGGCACTAAATTTTATCGCATACTTCTTTTCTGAAAAAATTGATTCTGGCCATGGAGGTGGCCATTCTTCAAAGGACTATTTATACTTAGGTTGCATAATAACAGCAACAATTATAGGCACCGGTCTTTTTGGATTTTATCAAGAAGCGAAAAACATGGCTGTCATGAGTGGTTTTGAAAAATTAGTTCCACCAAACGCAACTGTTATTCGAGATGGAGTAAAAAGGGTTATTCCTAACAGCCAAGTGGTTATAGGTGATATTGTGGAAATGTCTGGAGGAGAAGTTGTACCAGCGGACGTGAGAATCTTATCATGTAGCAATTTCAAAACAGATATGTCATCGTTGACAGGCGAGTCGGAGCCCATAGTTCACAGACCAGAGTACACGAACGCAAATCCTTTAGAATCAAAAAATATGGTATTTTTCGGATGCCCTATCACTGAAGGATCAGCAAAAGGTATTGTGGTTGCAACTGGTGAGTTAACACAAATAGGTAAAATAGCAGGACTTGTCACTGGCTTAGAAAAAGAAGAAACTCCAATTGCTAAAGAAATAACCCACTTTATAAAATTAATTTGTGGAGTCGCCTTTACCTTTGGCTTAATATTCTTCATAATGGTATATTCCATTCAAAAAAGTTGGCTGTCAGCTTTACAATATATGCTTGGAATTATATTAGCGAATGTTCCAGAGGGCCTTCTTGTCACGTTAACTGTATGTATGACCCTTTCTGCAAAACAACTAAAGAGAAAAAACTGTCTAGCAAAAACGCTCCAAGCTGTAGAAACTTTAGGATCTACTTCATGTATATGTTCGGATAAAACTGGGACTCTAACTGAAAACCAAATGAATGTTTCTCATTTGTTTTGTAACTTTACAATCTATGACAAACATGATCATGAAGATGTTTCTCATCGCACTTACGCTGCCCTTAGTCTAGCTGCGTCACTCAATTTAAGAGCAACTTTTGCACACGATACTCTTCATTTGCCGGTTGAAAAACGTCGAATTATGGGAGATGCTTCAGAATGTGCAATTTTAAGATATATGGAAATCAATAGATCCGCAACAAAAACTCGCCAGGATAATCCTAAAGAGGCTGAAATACCATTTAGTTCGGCATACAAATATCAGATTACAATACATAGATTGCATACTACTCAAAGTTATTACTTAATAATGAAAGGTGCACCGGAGATAATATTGGAATATTGTACAGAAATTATGACTGACGACGGCGATCAACCTATGACTGCGGTGAATAAAAGAGAGTTAAAAGCTAGTTTTATTAAGTTAGCTAATATGGGAGAAAGAGTGATCGGTTACTGTGACTATCAATTACCATTAAGCCACTTTCCATTGGGATTTGTATTCGATACTCAAGATCCAAACTTTCCCATAGAAAATTTAAGGTTCTTAGGAGCAATATCAATGATAGATCCGCCTAGACAAGATATAGAGAAATCTATAGCTCTTTGTCGTCAAGCAGGTATTCGAGTAATAATGGTCACGGGTGATCATCCGGTGACAGCTTTGGCTATATCAAGACAGTGTGGCACTATTACTCAACCTACAGCATATGATTACGCCTTCGAACATCATATAGAACTTACTGATGTCCCACATCACATTAAACAACAATTTCGCGCTGTAGTCATTACGGGTGATGAGCTTCGAAAAATGAGCCAGAATGATTTAAAGGCAGCTCAAAAAAAATATGATGAAATTACATTTGCTAGAACTAGTCCTCAACAGAAGCTATTTATTGTAGAAACCTTTCAATCACTCGGCTATGTTGTTGCAGTTACTGGCGATGGAGTAAATGACTCCCCAGCCCTTAAAAAGGCGGACATAGGAATCGCTATGGGTATAAATGGAACAGAAGTTTCAAAACAGGCTGCTGATATGATTTTACTAGATGATAATTTTGCTTCTATAGTTCTAGGTATTCAAGAAGGTCGAAGAATATTTGATAATTTAAAGAAAACGATTGCTTATACTCTAACTTCCAACACACCTGAAATGATGCCCTTTGTATTATATGCTTGTTTAGGACTACCATTGCCAATGCCACTAATTTTAATATTAGTTATAAACGTAGGGACGGATCTATTTCCTGCAATGAGTTTGGCATACGAGACCTCAGAACTAGATATTATGTCCATCCCTCCCCGTAAACCCACAGATCATCTAGTTAATAGAGTATTGATATATATGGCATATTTTCAAGTTGGACTCATTCAATTTTTCGCAGGGATGTACGCATACTTTGTAGTTTTTGCCCAGAGTGGATTTTTTCCTTCTAGCTTGCTTTTTGTTCGCAAAGATTGGGAAACTCCTGCAGCATCAGTAAGGGATACCTTAGGACGCTCCTGGTTTTTTGCAGATCGAAAAAGGGTTGAAAGAAAGGCTCAAACTGCATATTTTGTTGCTATATGTTGGACTCAAGTTTCCGATGTTATAATTTGCAAAACTCGTAGAATTTCGCTGTTGCAAAAGGGAATGAAAAATCACTGTCTGAATGTAAGCATTGTAATAGATGCATTTGCAGCGCTTCTCGTGACGTACTTACCTCTTTGTAATGAAGTTTTCGGCACGGAGCCTATTCCCTGGCATGACTTTTTTCTGGCGTTGCCATTTTTTATCCTGATGATAGCAGGTGATGAGTTACGTAGATATATAATAAGAAACGGTTTGTCTAAATGGGTGGAACAAGAAACTTATTATTAGACTTAGTTTGTTATGTTTATGTAAACATTTGCCTTTAATTTTATTTATATAATTTCCTTAGTTAATAATTTAAATATGTATTACTTTTTTAAGAATTAATTATTGTTGATTTTCTTTTTATCTTCACATATTTAAAAAAAAAATGTTTTTCTGTTATGATAATAAAGTGTATAATTTTTTATCAATTAATATTTGTTTGGTTTATCCACATTTTCTTCGATTACCTAAATCCTTAGTGAACTTATTATTTCGGTTCAGAAGAAAAGCATATTATTAAAAAAGTCTTTGAAAATGCATAGTCATTATTGCTACACCTACAATAGCTTAGATATTTGCCTGCTATCCATACAGTCTGAAAGATCATTGCTGTTTGAATCAGTGAGGTAAGTGCTGGCCACAATTAAGATTGCACCAATGAAGACACATGCTGAAGTGTTTTCTAATTATGTTCGACATCAATCACGGCTCAGCCAGAGCCAGAACACCGCCAATCAAGTAATTGCATCGCGTGCATCGACTTTTCGGCCCTCGATAATAATAGGCATTTTATTGCCCGTAATGGAGTCTCTAGGGCCTGGGCTAATGCTCAGCGTTTGGTATTAGCCCCTGCTTTTAATTTAGATTAACATATCCAGGAAGCATGCTCTTATATTTATTGGGCGATGAGGTATTGTTTTTGTAATCAATTAAATTGATTGTTTGTTTATTTAAGGGTAAATGATGTTACGGTACACTTAAGTTGTAATTATTTAAATTGCCCAGAGGAACTCAAACCTACGACAGTTATTACGTAAGACTATGAGTCATCTTTGACTGTAAGGTATTTCACGTCAACTAGTTTCTTTGACGTGGCATGAAAGGAAAAGGTTTCATTTGTGAGAGACGATCGCCGTAACTCGGACGAAGTAGGCGATGCTAATCAGACAGGTGGGCTGACGTGAGCCCTATGGCATTTGAAACTAACTTGGGAGCCTTAAATTCGTAGTGTTAAAGAGCTAAAATCATAGGATAATTATTTCGTAATAAAACTTCTAGTGTTAATAAAATTTTTTAGATATGTGACAATCAATAAAAGTACATAATAAACATGCAAGAAAAACAATAATTAAATCTATAATAAAGAAATATTCAATATCATTTTATTATACAATTTCAATATCATAATGGAATTTTATACAGAAAATCTCGAAATAAATACAAAATAATCCACAACAAGCCATATTCGCATCAATCATCCTCAACATCAAAATACGATACTCATATACTTACGACTTATGAATTCTATGAATTCGGCAATCGTCTAACTAAACTGTAACCAGATCACCTATCACCGATGTATTCGTAAATCATGATCAGCTCTGATGTCAGATTATGGCGCTCCTAGCCTTTTGTTTGTAATTTGTGATCGCCGCTGAAATACCACAATGACTGGCACAGTAGTGGCCCAATCAAGAAACGTTTAACGACCATCTATACAGCCGGCGGCTTCTTTATACTATTAGCATCCATTGCACTGTTAATACTAGGAATATTATTATGGCATCTAATTTAATCATCAATGAATTGTATATAGTTTATATGTACTCACTTTATATTTATATAACATCAGTTTAATTTACTAACAAGTCGAATATATTCGAGTGGTTATTTAATAAAAAAAAAACTCAGGCTGATAAGAAAATAGAATTATTGATAAAATATATGTACAAAATATTTTTTTTCATCGAATTCTTAATTGAAATTCTTAAACAACAACGCTTATATACGTTAAATAATTAAGATTAAAATCCTCAAATTCATGAAGATTATTCGATTTTCTATAACTTTAAATTAATTCTGGCCTATTGAACGACAAAACATGAAAAAATCAATTTAGTGAAAAAATTAAAAACATTTCACACGTGTCATATAAACTGGAGTTAAAACGACAAAGCATGTACTACTTAGGCTCAAAAATCTTTGTCAGTTAAAATAGCCGGCATCCAAAGGTGTCGGGTACAAAGAGATATAAGCGGCTAACTGTCAGGTAATCCGTCACCGGAGCACGACTTGCGAGTTGACACGAACACAAAGCTACCACAGACTACCACAGAACTATTAAATTTCTTGCTAAAATTAAACTAAGTATATTCAAAATCAAGTAACTGTAGCCCGTGACTTTATATGTTATATAATTTAACACTAATTACGAGTAAATACTGCAAAAACATTGTCAAAATTCAGACTTAATTTATACTATTGATATCTTTAAATACTTTTTATCGTTGTTTCTGTGCATATAGCACTAAACACCTTAATACTTTTATAATTTACAAGAATATAATGTATTAAAGTAACCTAACTTGGAAATAAACTCTACACAGTTAATATAAGTCAACAATTTATTTATTTATTTCTGTATTTTCTTCTTACTTTCCATATCTCTCACAATTATTATTTTAGTGAATGAACAAATTATTTGATATAGATACATGTACCAACAATTTTCACTTCAATCATTATGACATATTAAGCAATACAAATAAAATATCGCGAAGAGGCTTAAGAGAAAACGTCCTCTTATTCTTCGCTACTTATAGATTGTAGTACAAATATTTAATTTTACTCCTATTTCGATTTTATCTATTATGTATAATATTTTATTACAATTCACAAACAAATGAAAAAAGTAAATTATTACGAATCATATTGATACGTAAATAAACTGAAACATTCACATAACAATATCTGTTCCTAATATATAAAAATATCCTTTATTTTAAAATGGGTTTAAAAGCAATCGTTCAAAATCGTGACAGCTTTGTGCAAGGTGATTCTGATCTTTAGACTAAAAATATAATATTTTTTTAACTAAATCATACTAAGTTCAATTCAGAAAAAAGATCAATCAAATATTTGATATATTAAATAATAAGTTATAGGGGTAAAAGGAACTTGATAAAAATGTGTTTATAATGATTATTTCTCAAAAATACATACATATTTAACTATTTTGCAAAAATCCAATTAAGTATACACTAACTAAAAATTTCATTCATGACTTATAAAGCCTGTTACATGTTAGAGATTTACAAAAAATATATATATTGTCAAAATATTTATAACAGATAATCGTATTTTTTTATTTGCACCGTATAGTCTGTACAGATGATGGATGATCGTTCTGCATGATTCTTTATTGAAAGCAACTGTCACTCAAACGTCAAAATATCATACAAATCGCAATGTTTTGGTGACTTTTACGTAATATTAACAATGTTTGTCATGGTCGCGGTTTGTGATTTAACTACAATGGCACCACAATACTTGTGGTGTGCCATACGTTCTGGTGGATATAGCAAATAATACGTCTTGACCATAAGCTATTATTGAGATTATTGATACCGTCTACTTCTTGAAATATTGCCGTTAAACACTACTAAAAAAATGCTTGAGAATTATACACGTACAGATGAAAGTTTACATTTTTAACCGCTATACTTTTCATAGACAGCTCACGTCAATAACCAAATATATTGAATTAAAGCTACAATTTTAAAATATTATCAATAATAACAGTATCGCATTACACGAGGTCAGCCTTAGAAAGCTTCTGTCTAAATAGTAGTAACGTTTGATCATGATTCGACATTTACAACGGCCTGTGGTGCGGCGTCCGGCAAATTATAGACAAATCATAAGATATTATTTTTTCAACGCATTCGAGTGAGAAACGCTTGATTAGGGAGCGGTTGAAGATTACAGAGTAGAGGCACGCCACCAGCTCTCACCCACTTATAATCATTATTTAGACCATAATAAAGTGTGACTCCTAATTATTACCACCCAAGTCATGGCAACACAAATTAAATTACGGCTTTCAAACTTTAACCTAATAGACGAATTAAAATGCAATTCTAGGGTATTTGTAATTCAATATTATTATCAAATGTTGCTTGACTAAAAAATAATAATAAAAATCTCAAAAATTGACAAAACATTTTATTCCAAAATTCGTTCTTACTCATCGCGCACAAATTTTAATTCAGTAGGTACGATTCATAAAACACATAACATACCACAAAAAATTTAACCGAAATCTGAATATAAAATTACCTTATAATTGTCACTAGCAGCAATTCCACACGAAATATGAGTAACAAATTAATTTGATGCTAATACGTGGCCAATGTTGAGCGGTGTCTGATTACAGAGCAGCCTGTAATAGAGCCTGCACCCTATACTCAACATAATGCTCTCGCAATTTCTGAATAACGAATACAAAAAAAAACAATCGAAGTATCTCCAAATGATTGGCAACAACCAAGCTTCGGTTATTGATCTACTTCTGTATGAACATTCTTTATATAATATTAACAAAAACTATTAGTGTAAATATTGGCTTTTTATTAATAAATTGGTTAAAAGAAATCACAATCAGCTTTATTATAAAAACGTCTTTTAAATATTTCTAGCAAACGTTATAGAAACTTTATTTCTATGACCTTGACATTACATAATCCTTTCCATGGCCATAAAGTCAGAAATAGGGAATTAAAGACAAACAAAAAAGCATAATAGCTATAGTATAGATGCTAGTATAAAATATAATGGTAATATTAATTTCGTTTATGTACATAATATATAAGAGCAAACATCTGGTATCTAATACACGTAGCTGAAAGCTGTTTTGAGCGCGATTAAGCCTGTGATGTCCCAACGGACTATCTGATAACGCTACAGTATGATGACAGTTCACAGCCTCCCATACTCGATGATATTACACTAGCCTCTACACCCGGATATCCTTTGACTTATTAACAGAACATACATATTTCTAAGGGACGTAACATATTATTTTTCACTAGTCTTAACCTGGGTGCCTCTTTCCCAATTCCGTGTAATTTTATTGCAAAAAGACAAAGAGTTATAAATTTAGTGTCATATATTTTTTATAGATTTAATAATCCAGTAACTAAATAAACATATTCAAAAATATAAATATATATTCCTGTTTCGAT